CTGGATGAAGGATATCGTTTGAAGTGTTTTATTTCGTGACTACTCTCTCTGTGTGCACCTGAACTCTGATTTGGTTAGTTGAACCAGCCTGACTCTTGCACATGTAATATCAGGGTGAAGAATGCATTACTTCATTGCATCAGGGCAAGGGGTGTAACTCAATTTATATGTATCTTGATCTAAATAAAGTGGTCCCATTCATTCAATCTAAAAAGAAATGTGTATCTGTCCTAGCAATTGAAATTACATTTATTGCAGTTTTATTTAGAATACTGAATAATTTATATTTGATTTCTTTATTTCGCAGATCCCTACATGAGACCTCAACCGGATGCAGACTTTTCTAACAGTGGGTTTGATAAGTTTATCCTGTCTGATCTTATGGACAGATAAACTGTGCCACGCATACATTTTCCTTATTTTTCACAAACACATTTGTTCACAACTTGCACAATACAGAAGTGCATAGTGCATAGATATGTAGACAAAGATAGACGTAAAACTTATTTTTATTTTTGTGTGGTATTGAATCTGTTTGATGAAATCCAATATCCTGTTTAAAATAAAACGTACCAAACTAAGCTAGGTGAAGTGCAATATTATGGTGGCAAGGGTATTCAAACAGCGGACTGGGATAATACAAGAAGTCCCACAAGCGTGCGCGTAATATATTCCTACAGTTTTAAATACTAGATGACTCAAAGTAGAGGAACAATAACGGTATGCTTTGGATTATGAAATGATGCAGATGTTTAGCAAGTCATTTCTATAGATGATTATGCTTTGGTTAATATTGAATGATTACTGATGTCTTCAACTTTAGAATATCTTACACGTTTAGTCTGTCATTTCCGTAAATGAGCATATTTTGGTCTATGTGAATGCTTGTTATTCTCAGCATCAGAAAAATTATTATGATTGCCTGTGGAATGTTAGGTAAATATAGTGGAGTTCGCTTGAATTGACATTTGTTGACCGCGGAGTTTTCTTCAGTTTACCGTGGTTTTTTGTTTAGAGGGGTTACTCAGATAGAGATTACTGATGGCATTGTAGAGGTGAGAATTCCATGCGTGCTGCAAATTTTACTTTATGAATTTATGGTTTTTTTCTCGTCTACTTCTTTCGGTAATTACAATTTGAACTGCAAGTTGTACGCAATGTGTTTTCTGCTTGACGTTGTCAGCTTACTTAACACGTCGAACAACCACAGAGAACAAATAAAAGAATAGTCTACAGAGAAGTGAGAAAGAATGAACAAAGGCAGTGACACCATGAAACCCACCACAAGTCGTCTTGTGCTCATGAGTAAGACCTATGTGACCAATCTTCACAGAGACAATAGACAATGACCATCTGAAGGCTGTAAGACATGATACTAATGTATATTCGCTATTCTTGCGTCACTATACAGAGTTTGTAGCCCTTTTTTTATATGTTTGGAGGGAAAGAGTTAAATGACGATGCTTTTCTCTGGCCTTTATTTGACACACGTGGGTCCTAGTCTCTCTGTCTTTTGTTCAACTATCTTGAAGCGTAGAAGACTATGATGATTTGCTTACTTGAGGGTTTCCAGAGGAGATTTAGACGACATAACACTAGAAATTCTTTTCAGTTTAGAAATGTGAGCATTTCAGCTAATCAATTATTTTCTTACAAAGAAAAGGAAGGATAAAATGTGATTTTATTTTTATTTTGGTTTACCGCCGTTTTCAGATTAACCGTGTTCCTTTAAATGGACTCCACTGTACAGAACCACGTGACCTCTTTTGTATCTCCAGCCGATGAAACGAACGGTCCGTCTTCTTCCCTGCAGAACAATTCCACAGGAAAAGGGACCTATGTGAACATGGAGGTGAGCTCTTTGTACAGGGTTGAGGGGAAGCTATGTTTCTGTAAAGTGGGAGAGGGTGCAGGAGGTGTGAGAGCAAGAGGAGGGGTGGGAGGAGGAAGACCATCAAAATATAGCTGAAGTATTTGAGGGGGAATTGTTTGGACTCACCTTGAGAAACCCGAATACAAACATTGCACACTAAGCTTCTCGATGGAATCCTCAAAGAAAGAGAAAGAGGGATTGGACCTCAAACAGATGGGAAAAGGCTTATCAGTGGTGAAGAATATAGCCCAAGATAGAAGGTCAGTAAAACTTGAGAATAACGTACTTCCTTCGGGCACAAGATTGTGAACATTCCAGGTACATATTACCACATTGTTCCCCCCCCCCCCCCCCCCACAACACCCCCACACACACAAAAAAAAAAGAATAAATAAATAAAAATATCACACACACACACTGGATGGAAGGGGGGGGGGGTGACTAAATAGGTAAATACATTTTAAAAATAAATTAAATTTTAAAACTGCAAACAATAAAACAAAGTAGAACTTGAATACATTTGATTGCGACGACAGGGGAGCTGACCAAGGATGATCTGTTCTCTTTGTTTATTACATCCCTTTATTGCAGAGTGTGGCACAAACCACTTTCATTTTTACTTTTTTTTTTTCATTGTTGTTTTCTTTTTATTGCTGGTGTTTTTTTTCAAAACCAACTGATACAGATAAACAACAAGCACAAGGTACTAATGGCCGTGATGTGGGTGGGGATCTAGATGGTGATACTTTTAGTTTAGTTTTCGAAAAGTTTTTACGGCGCTCGCAACTGCATAAGGTCATATGAGCGCCAAGGGGTGGATGTCAACAGAGAAGTCCCTACAAGGAATCAGGCTTACTCTGCTCACCTCTCTAGCTTCAACAGCACAAAGTCTGCTTCGAATATCAAGGCACCCCGGAAATAGCAGTTCACAAGAGTGTGACAAACTCAAACATACAAAAGAAGTAGGGGGAAAATGACGATAGTAAGGATTAGGACAGATAAAGCAGCAGTTCCCCATTTTAGTTCAGGCACAGTTATGAGCATGACATTGATGAATCAGCCCATTTACAATTCTGTTGAGCGTAAGAACATCTTAATGTCCCCCCTCCCTTTGGAAATGGCCTAAAGACACTTCAGTCAGTAGCACCGCCCAGGGGAGGGGGGGGGGAGTATGTGATACCTTACAACTGGGGCGTGTAAGCCTTTTTTTAGACAGACCACGCCCGTCAGGTTCAACATGAATCAAGGCCGTCCACCTGCCAGCTTATGTTTGAGGAATCAACAAAGAAAAACTAATAGTGTGGCTAGGAAATTCGTAATATGTGAGGCAGCCTGGCGGAATCAGGTCTCGTCAAAATAATAAAAATGAAGAAACCTGCATTTTTCCGCAGGTTTGTGAAATTTTTATCAAATTTTTGTTTTTTGGCTCAACACCTTTCATGCCCTACAAAGAACTCATTTCTGTGTGGAATTTTCTGAAAAAACATTGATTAAAGGCACAAAAAAGTAAATTTAAAGTTACCAAAGACTTTTAAGCTAAAGAAATAACTAATCTTTGGCAGCCATTTTCTCACTAATTTTACCTCTGAAAACAGGTGACCCCCACCTCCCTTATTTGCAAATATCTCGACTTGTATTCAAGATTAATGGATTTTTTTCACACAAAAATAAAGACCAGTGAACAAGCTTTAAGAGGATACCAATAACTCTACATGCCCAAAAATTGACGAGGGCCTGATTCCACCACGCTGCCTCACATATGGCTATGGATTATGTTTTTCCCTGGGGTATCAACGACAGGGGGGGGGGGGTAGGTTCAAGGACGAGTGTGACATTTGATATCTTTTGTGTTCATCACTACAAACAATGCTGCGTGCTGCAGTTAATTTTTTCAGACAATTATCCGTCTTTGATGTTTTTCAAAAAATATTTTCTCATTGACCAAGTCCATTACCCATAACTCAAAGAACATGAAATTGTTAACGCCTAGTCAGACTAAATTTTGCCTTGCTCCTGGCTTTGGCTCAACTGCTGTGTTTCAAAAGTCAACGTTGTGCTACTGAGCAATTGAAAGAGCGCTGCACACAGATGATGTAAAGTTAGACAGCTGCATAACATGTGTTGTAGTGATGTAGAATAACCCCCACTCTCCCTATAGTAGTTGATTACTTTGCATTTATGACTACGGTAAATCTATCATTTTTAGGCTGAATATGTTATACTACGGTTTTACTGTAAAGGAAGAGCTTTGGTTGGTGGCCTATACTCTGACACGAGGTGAGAAAAGCCGGTGATGATGTGAGAGAAAATCTAGCATAGATACAGGCAGAAAGTGAGAGATAGATAGAGAGAGATAGATAAAGAGATAGATAGATAGATAGATAGATCTATAGATAGATAGATAAATAGATAGAGAGAGATAGAGAGAGAGAGATTGAGAGAGAGAGAGAGATAGATAGATAGAGAGATAGAGAGAGATAGAGAGAGATAGATATATAGAGAGAGATATAGAGAGAGAGACAGAGAGAGAGAGAGAGAGAGAGAGAGAGAGAGAGAGAGAGAGAGAGAGAGAGAGAGAGAAACGGGGAATACAAGTTCATGACGGAGGATGTTTGATTCCAGTAAAGGGGGCATGACAGAAAATAAGTTGTGAAGTGGGAAGTAAAATACAGAAGTGAATATGGGGGACACTAAAGGAGAAATGAAAGCTTGGTCTTAGGGGGAAAAAAACATAGTTGTGAGGGACGTTTAACATTGTGTATTCTGTTTGTACTGATTTTTTTATTCTGTGGTATTGGATGTGTGGTGAAAATATTTTGTTGCCTAATTCTTCATTTTGAAAAAAGGAAATAATATCCCTAATGAAGCTCCAACAGTTAAAAGAATGAAATAGTGCGTCTTTTTTTCCTCTCTATTGAAAAATGTTTCTTTGAGGGCTAGTACAAGCGAAGAGCTTGCCGGCGCTATGTTTGTATTATCATGGCACTTTATA